ATATAAAGGGCTTCATCTTGTTGCCGAGCGTAAATAATCCCCGGGTTGAACATTAAATTCCCTAGTTCGGTGAAGCAGTCAGGAAATTCAGAAATCCTATTTCTATGAAACAAATAACCTTCGCTTCTGAACCTGCCAGTCTCCCGTTGCCTTTTCCATATAAATTTGTCATCTTTTCTTTCTCCTGTGAAATATCTAAATCCTTTTTACCTAGGCATCCACCGTGATATCTGCCCACGTGGAAAAATCATGCTTTCTTTCACCCATGACTGTGGGAATCCACTCACTAGGAACAATTTCCAAATGGGAAAAAAAGGGAACACTTAAGCCTACAAGAGTCTGGATCTAAGGGTCCACCACAGTCGCCTGTGGGACACACTAACCACCCACCACCACGTGAGGCAAAGAGAACTTTCACTTACCGATCCCCGGGTGAGAGTGTTCACAGTTCTCAAGTCCTTCGCCTCAGCAGCCTTCAGACAACATCAAGCAGAACCTTGGATCGGGGCGGGGGCTGGGGGGACCAAATCGGGAGGGAGGAAGACAAAACATAACACTACGTCATATATTCGCAGCCCAGAGTCCCTGGGCCTACCTTCCCAGGACGAGGTCTTCAAAAAACAACTGAAGGAGCGAGCGAGGAAAGGGGTCAATTTAGGAACTAAAAACCAAAATAGCTTGCTTATAAACTATTGGTGGTTGGGGGAGGGGTTGGTGAAGGAATGATAAGACAGGACAAATGAGGTTTAGAAAAAAGTGGGAAATCGGAAGCAAAAGAAAATCGAAAATGTTGTTTTCAGCTAACTGGAAATCACCTTTTAACTCTTACAGGAAGGAAGGATTCAGGCATTTTTGTGTGTGTGTGTGTGAAAGGGAATCTAGATGGCCCGAATTCTTTTTGCAACTCCAGGATCCGGCCTTGAGTAGAAAGATAATAAGAGGGAAATGTAAAATTCAATGTTCACCTACCCTGTTTCTTGGAAGAGCTGCGCAGATTTTCGTTTGGAGATTTCCATCTGTCTGGTGGAAACTGGAATGGTGCTGGGGCAGGTTATCTGCTGTAGTAGGAACCTACGGGAACCCCACCCTCTAGGGCAGTTACACAATCTCAGCAGCCCGGTCTCAGCCAGCACTGAAACCTCTAGTGATCATCACTTTCACCTTTTGTTAACCTAATTCGCCAACAGGCTTTCAGCCTTAAAAACAACCAACTACATTAGCTGTTCACAAAATTAATTTATCAAAACTGAAATTATTTCAATGCATGCAAATTCTCAGTGAGAAAGTAGAAAATACATGTTGTAAAAAGTCATACTTTTATATAGAATGCTAACAGATTTGATTTACCCATCTATTGGGGTAAAATATGTACCAACCTGAATGCATATTATAATCAATACACTCAAGACAGATTTTTTTTTTCCTCTCTGTCCTTGCTGTGATTCCAGTCACATAAGCCTCTGCAAGAATACTTTGAGTACAAGGACACTTGCGTTGAACAGTTTCAGATTTACTTGATTTTTGCAACTAGATGAAGAAACTCCTTCACTGCTGTATTTTGTATCATTCCTCTGTGTTTGTGTATTAACAATTGGGTTAACTTTCAGTTATGTCAACTAAAGTAAAATACTGTAATATAAACCTGCACTATTTCAACTTGGAGTCTCCATTTTTAATTGTGATCATTTTCTTTTCCAAGTTTTCAAAAAGGACAGCCTCCATTTCATTTCAAATATAAAGTTGAAAGAAAATAATCTTCCAAAAGTTTTATAAGTGTTTGTCTGGAATGAACTGACTGTAACACCCAAAAGTTGGTGACAACACATAGGAAAACATTGTAACTACCAGTCTGAAGCAAAATTAAATGTACCAATGCCATACCAGATTGTTATTTTTAGAAGAGGGCATCAAGAGGGAGGGTAGACTAGATCAGGAAAATGATATAAGAATTATTCACACATTGGGCTTCAGAAAGCTGGTACCAACTTCTCTTTCTATAAATATATAGGTATTTTTCATGTCTAGGAAGCCTAATAAACAATCTACCAATCACATCCACTACATATTTAAATCAGACATGAGCATGTGCCAAAGCACACCTCTACTTCAATACCTATTAATACGCATGAATACAAAAAGGCAACTTCACTGTGGACTTGAAGTACAAAAGGTGGCCATAGAAATTCTATTTCTCTGTCTTCCAAATAAACACTTCATAAGGTCACAAGTAAGTACAGATAGTTAATTTACTTTGGCCAGAGGAAAATTATACATAAAATTCTTTCTTCAATAGCTACATCTTGTCGCTTTATTATGTGAATTTGGCTTTCCTTTCAACTTTTGCAATACTGTATTTCTTCTGTGGTAGTAAGTACTAATTCTATAGAGAAAACCCATAGCAGAAGCAAGCAATAACTCATCATCCCCCCACCCCCCAAGCTTAAATGCAGGACTTTCCCTGAGCTAGTTTGCCTTTCAACTGCAATAAAGGTTTTCTTTGCTAAGCCCACACTGGCCTTTCTTTCTTTTTCTTTTTCTTTTTCTTTTCTTTTCTTTTTTTTAATAGTAATTTGTGGTACTTTTTTGTGATTCACTTTAAACAACTGGTAGACTTCAAGAAACTTAGATCTAAGGTAAATCTAGTTTCACATTAAGACAACAAAATTTTGCCTATCTCTCTCTCTTTTAAATTTGATTCCAGCTTTTCAAAATTTCCTAGAATCTCTCTCTCCCCCTCTCCTCCCCTCACGCCCTTTCTTCCCCTCTTCATTCAAGATCCAGTCACCCCCATTTTCCAACATCAACTCTTGTGAATTTCAAATCAATGTTAGCCAACCTGCTTCTCCACTAGCCACCCGCCCCCTTTCCTGAGCAACCTCTAAGTGCTGGCTGATAACATCTTAGGGACATATTATTTTTCACTGGTCCCATTGTAAGAAGTGGCCAGCTTATTGCATTACTGCAGAGCACATTTCAGACTATACAAATGTAACAAATGAACAACTTGTCTTCCACAGAATCACCACAGGATCCAATTAATTACTAAAACTCTAACTCAGGTTTTCCAATTATTTTTTAGGGTTTATAGCAAGTGGGCTGTCTGAAACAGTTTGAAAAAGTTTTCATTTTGTCTGATATATATGCATATATGAACACATGCAATATATCTGGTATATATGCATATTGCACTCAAAGCAAAAATGATTCAAGCAAAAGAAACACATCTCTAAATTAAATTATACAAATATATTGAAAATTGAACCAAACAGATACCTCTATGTTGTAAAAATGGATAGGGAAGATAGGGGTATTTTACTTTGAATAGCTAGAATTTTAAGTTGTAATTAAAAATTTAAATATCAACATCCTTCTGTGAGTCATTGTAACAGGTGATCACTTCAGCAAGCTCTACATTGCAACTCAGCACATCTTTATTAGAATTCGTTCATTGTGGGTAAACAGCCACAAAAATAAATGCTGACTTAGAAAGTATAAATACAAATATTTAAACAAAAATGTTTGCAGCATTCATAGCGCAAATTGTACCTGAACTGAAGGGATATATATGCATATATACATATGCATATATGTATATGTATATATATGTGCGTGTTCATTATTCACTTCTAACTATATACATATATTTATTTATAATGTGCCAACTTCTATTAACACGATACCGGAAATTATATATATATATATATATATGTATATATATATATATACATATATATATATGGCATTCTGTCAACTGAATTTAAAATAAAGCACAGAATAAACAGCTATGCACATAAAATTGAATATCTTCTTTTTTCTGTATTTCTACAAAATTAAAGATATTAGCTGAAAAGCCTATACTTCATTTAAAGCTAGTATTTATTAAGTAACCTGCTCCTGGTAAAATTTGTTCACAAAGGGAAAAATGATACTATTCTCATTTGAAAATAAAGGAGCAGTTTAAACTCCAACTTGGCTGAAAAAGCCTTCGAATTCCCTATAAATCAAATGGTAATTTGCACATTAGCTCTACTTAATAAAAGAGACAAAAATATCAAGATATATATGAATTTAGCCTATTTTTTTATTTCTGTGTGTTCATAGTAAACATTTTTGTAAGTGACAAACACGGGCATATGACCACAGTATCACAATCAAGAAATTTTAAGACAACATTAACAATCACTCAAATTGATGCGTCATTTGCGCAACACGGGTTACATATTTGCAAAGTTTACCTATAAGTACAATAGGTATTAACATTTCACTACATTTAGAAAAAATAAAAGTGACCTGTTAGTGACCACATACATCGAAATATACACAACACAAACTGAAGGCAATCCTTAATTTTGTCCCCTTCCGATTCAATTGAATGGGCAGTGTTGCCAACTAAACAACTTTCCTTTTTCGTTTGTTTGTTTGTTTGTTTGTTTGTTTGTTTGTTTTAATACTTAGTATACCAAGTGCATTTGCTAGAATCCAATCTTTGGTCTAAAAGTAAACAAAAGGTAAAAACAGTTCTTTAAAGAAAAGGACAAAACAATAAATGGCCAATATAATTTCTTGGGCACCTTTACTACAAATTCTTAAATACAAATTACAGTTTAACATTTTTAAACTCTCTCCATAATTTAGGTTGTTCTCAAGGCCTGCGTCCACCAGATAGCTCCATGATAACTTATAATACTGCACACATGGAAATCTGGCAGCCTTTTGAGATAGGCTTGTCAGGTTTGAATGAAATGGCAAAGCAGTCACTATTTAGATACACATTCTACTATAATTTGACGTCCAAACCTTATATTCTACAATGTATTCTCCCACATTGCACCTCGCTGACACTCCACACCTTGTTAGAATAGGAAACAACCCTAAAGACTGAACAAACGTACAGAAATGGGGGGGAGGGCTTAATAAAAAATACCTGGACTTATTTTTTAATTATCATTTACAATGCAAATGTGTGTAAAACGTTCACTTACAGTCTGGTCCCCGGGATGTTAATGTATTAAAGGGTTGGAAGAAGACCCCTGATTTTGATGTGTGAAATAATCAGACAGTCCCCCGGACAGTCCTGTCGTAAAACTTGGCAAAGAGGGTCTTAAGGACTCACAGGGCAGGGTCGAGGGGGCCTGCGGCGACGTAGAGGAAGACGCGGCCCTGGCGCTCATGGACGTGCTGGTCTGCGAAGTCATTGACGGGTGTGGGACGTGGGGGAAAAAGTAACTTGTCTGGCCCGCGAGCAGGTTGACGGAGCAGGGGTTGAGGGAGTAGGTCCCGGAGCAGGGCACGGACAGGCCGCAGGGCACCGAGGCGGCGAGCGCAGCGGCCGTGAGGTGGTGTGTGGCGTACGGGATCTCCCCGTTGACCAGCCGGTCCACACTCAGCCCGTTGGCGGTCGAGAAGGAGTGGTTGTTGCCCAGCGAGTTCTGAGTCAACACGGAGCTGTAGGGCATGGGGTGGCTGGGGTAGGCCGACGTGGTGCCGTTGTAACTCAAAGTGCTGCTGGCGCGGGGGTGGTGCAGGGACAAGAAGGGCGACATGGGCCAGTAGAGGGAGCCGGCGCGGTCCATGAAGGTGAGGCCAGTGGAGGTGAGGCGCGCCCCGCGCTTGAAGGCCAGCTTGGCCCGAGACGTGGTGGAGCGGCGCCGCAGCTTGCCTGTCGTGCCGCCGATGAACACGTCGTCGCTCGACGGGTCCAGCATCCAGTAGTTGCCCTTGCCCGGGTCGTCGTAGTGGCGCGGCACCTTCACGAAGCACTTGTTGAGGGACAGGTTGTGGCGGATGGAGTTCTGCCAGCCCTGCTTGTTCTCGCGGTAGTAGGGGAAGTTCTTCATGATGAACTCATAGATGCCGTTAAGCGTCAGGCGTTTCTCCGGGCTCTGCCTGATGGCCATCATGATGAGCGCGTTGTAGCTGAACGGCGGCTT